TTACTAGGGAGCTGAATCTATGTCTTTGGACCTGCTCCTTGTTGCCTTAGATTCTTATAAATAGACCAGAAAAAACCACAGAAAATCATTCTCGCTCAAGTTCTCTTACCGTCAACTACAAACCTTCAAAGTTTTCTACTTGTTTTACTTACCTTCTCAAATTTCTCGACATGTCTTCAAACAGTGTTTCAGTTGCTAAAGCATCGGATGTTTCTGATAAACCAACTCCAGTCGTAATCAACAGTGCTCCATCCGAGTGTCAAAGTGAAAATGTTGAATCCTTTTTTAAGATATTTGATTCAACAAAATCAAATGCGTGCTTCAGTCTTTTTGATGAACATCCCTTCAAGCACGAAGGGTCATGGCAATTCTCACCGATGCTGTTCATCGACACTTTACGTGGCGCCCCGGATTATGATAAGATAATTTACGGAAAATTAGTTGGAATGATAAAATCGAAATTCAGTGCCAGTAAATATCTCCAACGACAACTTTTGATGACAGGAAGCAAGACCATTGTTTACTGTTCTGAAGCATTGGACTTTGGTATTGGTTGTGCGTCCGACACAGCTGAAGTTGAAAATCCTGGTGTCTTGAAAGGTCGCAATCTATACGGTTTAGCCTTGATGACCGTTCGAAATGATTTTCGGGAAAACTGGAAGAAGGAAAATCTCGTTGAAGACACTGAGGCTGGACCTAATCGCAAAAAGCTCAAGGTTATGGAGGAAAAATGAATCTTTCAATGAAATTGCTTGATTAAAATTTCATTCATATTCACATTTAATCAATTTTAACTTACTTTTTCTTTGTATCAGCTGATTTATGCTAATAACCTTTCATGATTTTGATATTAAACAAATTTGATGATATTATAAAATACGTTTTATTGTAAAACTTATTTCGAAAAAGGTTATATAAATATAAATATAAATATAAAGAACCTAGATAGATTATTCGAATTATCAATATGATTGAATCCTACAGCTTCAAACATCCCTTTACATGTATGGTAGCGGGGCCTACATCAAGTGGAAAAACAGTTCTAGTTGAATCCATTATTGCCAAACACAAACAACTAATTCCTAAGTTGAACTCACAACCTAGAATTGTCTGGTGTTATGGACAGTGGCAAAGTAGATACGCGAAGAATAAGAACATTGAATATCATGAAGGATTGGTGGATGAACCACAAAATTATGATCTTATAATAATTGACGATTTAATGAATGAGCTAGGAGAGGACAATCGGTTGCTCAACTTATTCACAAAGGGGAGCCATCATATGAATTTATCTATAATCTTCATAGTACAGAATGTGTTTCATCAAGCAAAAAATATGCGAAACATTAGTCTAAACTGTCATTATTTGATTTTGATGAAAAATCCTAGAGACAAGGCACAAATATATGCTTTAGCCAGACAGCTTTACCCTACGAAAATCCCAAAATTCGTCGCTGCTTATGAAGATGCAACTGCAAAGCCATTCAGTTATATAAAGGTTGATTTGACTCCTTCTACTCCTGAAGAGTTGAGAGTAAGAACAAATATAGTTCCTAAGTCCAATACACACACATTCACTGTTTATCAAATATAATGTCTACAGAGTTGAAATCAATGTTACACACATTACAACTTGCAGCTACAATCAGAAACCGTTCACTGCGTAAAGCTTTTTTAATTGATCAATACAAAGCTGACCCCACTCTATATAAAGCATTAAAAGAGATAGCTGTAAACCTAGTAAACAAAAATGTAAATTTATCAGAGAAAGATAAAACTAAGCTACGTAAATTCAGAAAGTGCATAATTAAACTGGCAACTGATCGAGCAAAAGGGCGACAAAACAACACGTTGCTCAAAGTGGAGGATATCTACCAATAGTCATTCCTCTTGTTACGAGTTTGTTATCAAGCCTACTCAATGGTTGAGGTTATGAAAAAGCAGATCACTGTTGCATTCGACGGAGTTGGTCATAAAACAGAAAAAGAGAAAAAAGTAAAACTTAAGAATAAAACTTGTAACAAGGTTGAATCAATATTGAAAGTTATTTTGAAGGTTGCTAAAATTGGCGGTTACAACGAATACCATAATCTTGTTATTGATGGCGCTCCTCTTGAAAATACTAACATAGAAAAACTATTAACTGCGGCTTTTGAAACAAAAATTGAGAAGAAAGATTGGCCACCTAGCTTTATGCATTTGCTTCGTAAAGCAGAAGTGGACCCAAAATACATACCTAACAAATATTTAGAAGAAAAATTGACTGGTTTCACAAAGTTACAGCCATTCAAGTCTGAATCACTCCCCTTTGTGCTAACAACACCGAAAGAGCAGAAAAGGCGAAAAAGAAAAGCACAAGAACCGTTGAGAGCTAGTGAACGTCTAGCCAAGAAAAAGAGGATTTCCGAGAAACCGACAGGAAATATTGAAACTGATGATGGATCCACAAGATCTAAATGGATCACATTCGCAGATATCGAATGATGAAACACTCAGAAAAATATATTATTCAATAGAGAATCCAGCAGGTTTCACATCGATCAACAAGCTTTACAAAGAGGCAAAAGTTGTCAATAGAAATATAACGCATTCTTTCGTTAAGGAATGGTTGAAAGCTCAATTACCTTACACACTTCATCGAGGAGCTAGAAGGAATTACAAGCGGGATAGAATAGTAGTTACAGCGCCTGATGAGCAATGGGAAGCTGACTTGGTTGAGATGCAAGAATTCTCAAGGGTAAATAGAGGTTACAGATATATTCTGAACGTAATCGATTCCTTCAGTAAATATGCATGGAGTGTGCCTCTTAAGTCAAAGACAGCTTCAGATGTAACGAAAGCTTTCAAATTGATTTTAAAACAGAGAGTTCCAGGATCCCTACGGACTGATAAAGGAAAAGAATTTCTAAACTCTTCATTGCAAAATATATTGCGTGGCTACGGGATTAGACACTATGTTTCTAACAATCCAATTATCAAATGTGCTATCGTTGAAAGATTCAATAGAACACTGAAAGCTAGGATGTACAAATATTTCATTGCTAATGAAACTAGAAAATATTATGATATCTTGAATGCATTAATATCGGCTTACAATAACTCGTATCATAGATCGATTAAAATGAAGCCAGTTGAAGTTACAAGCGAAAATAAGGATATAGTTTTCAAAAACCTGTATGGAGCGCATAATCTTCTTGATCTAGTTTCGAGAGAAAAAATAATTACCCCACCTAAGTTTTCAATCGGCAACTCTGTTAGAATGAAATACATACTAGGACCATTCGATAAGTCATTTTACCCTAATTGGACCGATCAGATTTATTTTATCTCGAGTATTGATAGAAGTGGTACTAGATTCAAGTATTCTTTGAATAATTATGATGGTTCACCCTATAAAGATCGAAAATTTTACACTGAAGAACTGCAGCATGTGAAAGAATCTATTCATAGAATTGAAAAAATATTGCGTAGAAAAGTATATAAGGGCAAAATAATGTACTTCGTTAAATGGTTAGGATATTCAAGTTCACATAATTCATGGATAATGGCAGAAGACTTGCAGAGACTCCGTTGAGAGACTCGTCATTTGTGTTATTTATTTTTCAAGTTCTCACATTATTTTTGATTTCGCTTATTTCAATGATAAGTTTAGCTCTTAATCTCGGAGATCAAAGGCTTTGGCTTGCTCTATTGTCAATGGCATTAGGATGTTTACTTCCATCACCTAAGATCAATAATAACAGTAATAATTCTAATACAGCTATTTAAAGATGAATTTGTATTGCGAAAAATAAATAAAGCTATTTGAAATAATAAATATGGCTCATTCTTTTATTTGACATTACCAAGTAACGTTAAAGGATTAACTGATAATAAAATTTCAAATTATGTAACTTATCTACCGCAAACTCTGAAATTAGGAGATAATTGGGAAGTTGGCCTAGCAGAAATCACATATACTAAAAGCTGGTATAATGTTGAAGGAAAACATCGTTTTACTATCGTTAATGAGGCAGGATTTAGCATTGAGACGCAAGCGACATTGAAACCCGGTTATTACGAAAACATCGAGCTACTTTGTGGTGAAATCAATCGTGAAATCCGTGAACTAGCTGATGTTTTTGAATATGATGGTATACCTCCGCGAATGGGGTATTTACCGGCTGAGCATCGCGTAATACAACAATCTGGTGGAAATAAAGCTGCTAAAATGCTTATCCATCTAGACAGAGAACTAGAGACAATGTTGGGTTTTCAGAATGAAGAAGATTACGAAAAAATCAAGAACGAAATGAAAAGTGATAGTATACACAGCGAGCCTCTCGTGCTGCTTTACGAGCATAATAAAACTATGGGTCGAACAGCACCTCACTTATTTGATTTGAAAGCAGGCATACATGCTTTAATGATCTACTCAGATCTTGTTCAACCTTTAGAATACTTACTCACAGTTTTTACGATCAGTGCGAGTTGACAATTCATCTAAATTCGGAGACGATACAAATATTATTTTCACCAAACCATATTATTTTCCATTATCATGCAATGAGATTGATCGGATTGCAATTAATATAAAGGATGAATCCGGCCAAGACATTGCATTCAGATTCGGTAGAGTTGTTACAACATTACATTTTCGGCAAAAATGGAAAGCTATTATATAAAGCAAGCAGGTACTGTTTACCTCTTCAAGTATTCGCAGGAACTCGTTACCAAAGAGGGAACGGTTTTTTCGGGCGTTTTCTTACATCCAAGATTTTACCTCTACTACGCTATTTAGGGTCACAAGTACTGGACACTGGTAAGGCTATATTTGAAGATACTAAACAATCTGCAGCTAATCACGTATCAGAGACTGTTGGTAAAATTGCTAGTGATGCAATTCGCCATATTTCTGACAAAAGGAATAAACAGGAAGGCGCTGGAAGAAAGGTTATAAAAAGGGCCACAATCAATAGGAAAAGGAAAAGTTTGAATAAAGCATATTACGATTTCCTAAAATGACTTCCATACACAAATTATCTTCTGAAGCTCTTCTTCCTGAACTGGATATTTTCACCGTACCACCTACACAGAAATCTATTGAAAGAAGCTATGAAACACAGCAACGACCCATTTCATCAATTACAGGTGGAAACTACCTGGAATTTCATATTCCTACATCGAAGGATGAGTACATATTAATGCATGAAACATACCTATATGTTAAGATGCAGTTAGTTATGAACAAAAATGATAACACAGCCATGACTGAGGCAGACTGGGTTTGGTTGAAACCTGCTAATAACTTGTTACATTCAATGATAAAGCAAGTTGAACTTAAGCTTGGAAACAGAGAAGTAACTTCTTCGTCGAATACGTATGCTTACAGAGCATATTTTGAAAATCTCTTAGGACATGGGAAATCAGCTAAGGATACACATTTACAGTGTTGTTTATGGAATGAAGATGCAGCTGAAAGACGAGGTTACTTCTTACCGGCAACTAATAATGACAAAATAGGTGAATCTAAAGTTGTTGATTTGTATAGAAAATTGCATGTTGATCTTACATTCCAAGGAAAGGCTCTCATCGGAGGATGTGATTTACAGCTTAAGTTGATCCTGAACACAACCGATTTCGCTTTCGAGTATTCGAATGCAGTTACTTTGAACCATAAAATTATTGATTCTAGTTTATTTGTACATCGTTTGCGAGCCTATCCAGGTTTGGTTACTGCTCACGCTAAAGCATTGGCTTTGGCTCCAGCTAAATATCCAATAACAAGAGTAGAAGTTAAACATATACCTATCCCTTCGCAGTCTATGGATGCTGTTTTAGACAATATTATAATTGGACAGCTACCTCGTAGATTATTTCTAGCTTGTAATTCAAATAAAGCATTCAATGGTTCAAGAGAAAAAGATCCATTCCGTTTCGAACATTTCAATATTTCTCAAGCAATTTGTTATCTCAATGGTGTTCAGTATCCGAGCAATGGTTATCAACCTGATTTCGATAAAGGAAACTATATCAGAGAGTATTCAGGGTTGTTCCAAGCAATGAATATGAACTCAACAGAGTCGACGATCGATATAAAGAGAAAAGAATTTGCTGACGGTAAAACCATTTTTGGATTCAACTTTGCACCTGATTTGTCTCATGGTTGTGATTTAGTAGGACATGTCAATCCTATAAATCATGGTACATTGAGGATTTATTTGAAATTTGCGAAAGCACTTGCTGAAGTTATTGATGTTGTAATATTTTGTGAATATGACAACATCATTGAGATTGATTACGAACGAAACATCGCATCAGATTACAAAAACACAGTGAAACATGTATAATTATGAGATAAGAAATTTATGTGCACACGTCAATGATTTTGTAGGTATATTTGCTAGAGATAAAATTCCAATTATCAGAAATTACCCAAGTTTTTTAGTTGTGAATACTGATAAATCTTCGGAAAAGGAAAACATTGGGTAGCTTGCAGAGTTGATTCGCGCAAGTGTGAGTACTTTGATTCGTTTGGACTGCCACCTATGTATCCTGAGATGCAGAGCTTATTTAAAGAGAAAAAACTTGTTTGGAACGGCAAACAGTTACAACACCCTGAGTCGAGAGGTTGTGGAGCATTTTGTGTTGCATTTGTTATTGGTAGAGCAACCAATACATCGTTCAAAAGTTTTCTAGCTAAGTTCAGTAAGTTTCATAAGTGTAACGATAATCTAGCTTGGAAAATCATTGATCATGGATACAAAACAAATCAAAATGGACCTGAAGTGGATTCCAAACGAAAAAGACTTTTACGGATTCCAAATTGAAGTGCGAAGTCGCTTTGGTAATATAGATTATGAATCTGCTCTATGTTTTACTGTCTGTGGTCATCAATGCTACTTTGCTCCTGCGAAATTCGAAAGAAATGGTGAAATTTCGAAGTATTTGAAGGATGCGCTTCCTGAAGATGTAGGAGGATTCATCAAGCAGTTTTACGAACAGCTTCCTGAACGGGACCCAGTGATTGTAAATGATCTTGTCTTGGTATACATACTTGATTGTATTGGTATACCGTGTACGTTGCAGGAGAATAAAAAGTCTAAAAGAGGCTTCTTTGATGTTCTTAGAAGCAAAATTCGTATAAGTTTACTTTTTCCATTCTTTTTCTGCTTCACAGTTTCTGAACACTATTAATGCTTGATGATGTAATCATTACTGAATATTTCTTAAGAATAATAAAAATACAAACAACCAATCAAAATCATCTAATCGTAATTATCAAATCTATATCGCGTATAAATAGTTTGCTATTTCGCTTTTTTCAGTCATTTCAATCTTTAGTATCAAGTTGACTGTCATGGATAGAATAGCTCTTGCAATAGAGTTAGTTAACGTTTCTGTGAACTGTGAGAATAAAAAGCTATCAAATCAAGTTACTGAGTTGATGAGAGAAGTCCAGCGACTGAGACGTCAAAATCGAAGGATTTTGAGAAGAAACAACGTTTTAACTCAAGAAGTAGAACAACTTTGTGATCTCGTTGAAGTTTGCGAATATCATCTTGACTCGTTAAACTCTGTCCATCAGGAATCTATTGAACAGAAATCATACATTAAATATCTAGAGTGTCAACTCAAGAAGTTGATTGGATTCAAATAATGATGGATACGGTGAATAACAAACCCAAGATAAGTAATGTTGTTATAAAATATCATCTCATCAGATTTCCCTTCAAGCTCGTTGAATTAAGTGAGTATTTTCCTGATATCGATTACCGACCGGAGAGATTCAGTGGTGCTATTCTTAAGTTTGAAACTGCTTGCTTACTCATATTTAACTATGGTAAGGTAAACGTCGTCGGTGCTAAAAGCATTGACTCTGCTGATTCCGCTATTGCAGCTTTCTGCCTGAAATTAAATCTATCAATCGAATTCCATGATCGTCAAATAGTTAATATGGTTGGCACTTCTAACTTCAAACGTAAGATAAACCTCGATAAGTTGAGCAGAGAGAAGCCTCGGTTGTTCGAATATTATCCTGAATTATTTCCAGCAGCATATTATTGTAAAGAAAAGAAAAAGTGTTTGTTATTCCATACCGGAAAAATGATTATTACTGGTTGCAGAACATATAAAGACCTAGTAAGTCTACATAATGAAGTACATCTTTGTTTGGTGCTCTATGGATACTTGTAAGAAGTTGGAACTGCTATTAACAACATCATGCATAACTGTAATCATAATTATGTGTATATTGTACGTTAATTATGAAGTGAAATGCTATAATGACACTTTGAAGACTTGAATAAAGCGCTTTTGCAAAAAAGACTCTTTTTGTTACTTTGGTTTCGCGTAGATGGCGTTATGCTATATCAATAACTTGTTTTGAGAAGTGATGTTGTTTTGATTTTTCATCTTTGTCACTCCTAACATGTCATTGTGAAAAAGGGTCCGTTTATGGCCTGTGTAACACATAGGTGTGAAAAAGGGTCGAGATGGCCTACGTAACACATAGGTGTGAAAAAGGGTCAAGGTGGCCTATGTAGCACATAGGTGTGAAGAGGTCAAAATCAGGTTCGGTTTAGGTCCAAGTTGAACGGTAAAATAAGATGTCATTTTAGTTTTACCAAGTTTCAAGATCAGTTTTCATTTGTGACATTTTCCTGAATTTTTAGTCTTCATTTTCATTTTTTATCCCTATTATTCATTTATCTTTCGTTTTATTCATCATGAATGACAATGACGTTTTGTTCGTGACAGTAGTCGCAGCGACAAGTATTTCGATTTCGCATAACTGCGAAATCCATCTTTCCGTCAATGGAAATAATATTACCATTTACCCTCCATCTCCACCTCCACCACCGCCACCGACTCAATCTCAACCACCACCACCACCTCAATCTCAATCTCAACCACCACCGTCACCATCGTATTCACCTACACCGCTTTACGAGGATTTGCTTCCACCTCCATCACCATCATTCAGCATTGAAACTGATATTGAGGAAGAAATGTTGTGTGAAACTGAGGATTCGTCATTTGAAAGTGACATCAAAACAATTTTTGGTGAATCTGATGACGAATCCTCAGTTTCATCGAGTGATCCTCTCGAACTCCCTCTCCCTGCTTTTGCGAAAGCAAATTGTTCAATTTGCTCTTTCCTGAAAAGAGATAAACAGGGTAAGAGGGAGTTCGAGTATTACTCGATCAATCCAAACCATTGCGTTAAAAAGCAAAAAATGTAAAAGTTTTCTATTTAATTTGAAAATAAAAAACTTGAAGAAACATTGATAAACTTTGTTTCGTTGCTTTTTCCTTGTCCCGCCCCTTTGACTCTTCCCTACTAATTCACTACTTATAAAAAATTGGGTTTTACAATTGATGATTCCCATGGAAGGTGCCATGATGCTATCTCATTGAGTATACTAGAACAAGATCCGTTTGCTGCTTCTCTCAATATATTCGCAAACATCAAGGTAATACTCATTCTTTGGGCTAGTATTCATATAAGAGATCAGTTTCTGGGTATTCTCGTCCCATTCACTGACTACTCAACTGATCTTGATTGCACTGAAACACGCTATTACAATGGATTGGCAATTTTTATGCGCATCTCATGTCTCAAAGGAACCAAATCATTCTCTGACAACAACATTCTCATTTCAAGGCGTCTAGGTTATCTATTCAAGTTGAGACACTCCTTTGGAATTTACTTCGGTATTCGTTTGAGTGACCCAGCTGATTTACCTGTTTATGACCGCAGCAAATACTTCATGATCACTCGTAAACCTGGTTCATTCCCACTTGTTACGATAAGTTTTGCAAAAACAGTTATGAGTTCCCTTGAGTATCCATACGAGACCGATTGTCGTCATTACAATAAAGATGAGAGCATATCCAAATGTATGACTGAATATACACTTGGTCAATCAACACCTTACCTTGATAAATTTGCGATACATGAGTGGGATGAATCCCCGGGTCATTTGGGTTTCGATGGAAACAATAAAGGTGGTCTACGTGAGAAAGTCAACCAGGGCGAGTTGGATGCTTTCATCAAGTGTAACCAACAAGCAGCAGCCACTCAATGCGAGAAAACAGAATATTTATTAGAAGGCAAAATATCGGAAAATAATAATAAAAGTCAATATGGTTGGATATTATTCAAACAATCTTGGAAGGCAAATATATATCTGAGTGTCCATCCGTTTCTACCTTGGTATCAATATGTTATTTACATTTTAAGCATTGCTGGCATTTGGTTTGGAATATCAATGCATGATAATGTATTGAAGATACTTAATGTATTGCGTAGTCTAAAAAGCAGAATTTTCAGTTTTATAGACAAACGAAATGTAACGAATTAAATGGTCGATTACGACTGCAAACTAAATGTATATCAAATCATTTTTTGCATTAATGTATCGCTTTCGAATAGATTCATAATATACACTGCTAATTGTTCTAATTATAGTACAAGTTAAGTTCTAATAGTACCTGGTAATGTACTTTGTACCTTTTTTAATTTTGGTAAAACTAATCAAGTATAAAGAAAAAAAATTATAATATAAAGGTTGTTGTGGATAAAAAGTAGAATTTATCTTACCTAAAATTTTGATAAAGATGACGTTGACTAGTGTTGGGTTATGATCAATCGTAAATCGATTTAAATCGACAATCGGCTCCTCTGTTTCAGATCGATCAAGAAAATGAAGAGATCGATTTAACCAGGAATGGCTACTTTAGAATCCTTTGATTAATCAAAAGGCAATAGTTGTTTTATTTTTTGATTTCGACGATTTAAAGATCAGAAGATCTAACCTTTTCTGAAATCACAAAATCTAGCATTGAAATATCTAACTATGCAAGCCCCTTCAGTACCGTGTGAACGCTTATTTTCAAAAATTGGATTAATAATCACTGAGCAACGGAACGGATTGAAGCCTAAAAATGTTGAATTGCTATCTTTTCTTGACTCATTGCCTGATATTTACATTTAAACTCGTCTTTTCTTATTCTTTGTCAATTTAATAAACGATCGGACAACCGAACGATCGAACAGTCGATGAAATCGATAAAATCGATGACATCGACAAAATCGATTTATCTTTTTTCTATGACCAAGAAAATCGATCAGACTTGAATTGCTTGATCGGCCAACACTAACGTTGACCATGATAACAATGAAGATAACAAAATTGAAGAAAAAACGTAGACAAATTAAGGAGGACCTGCAAAATCGCCTGTTCTCGATTTCTTTTGAAATGTTACTTTTCAGACACAAAATTTAATGCTAATTTCAAAAATCAAATCTATTTTTTTATAGCATGCATAGTTTCTGAGATATCGG